AAAGGATGCGGCCGTTCCTAAATAGATACCCTGATCAGGCACCCGCCGTGCTGCTGGCGGCAAGGTTTGTTCGGAGGGTTTCCGCATCCCGTGTACTTTGACTTCGATTCCTCCTCTTAGCGCGGAACTCACGGTTGGCCTTGCAGTATGCAGAGGTGGTTTCAGCTAAGTTGCGTAAGGAAGTGGGGTTAGACCGCATGGGCGGCCTGTTTTCTTTTTTTCCCTTGGGGGGTTGGGCCCAAAAAGGAGCCTCATGCGTTTCGGTTAATTCCTCACCTGTCCTTCCTGACAGTGGGGTCGGTGACCGACGCCATCGATACAGAGTCGGGTGCCTTGTATTATACGTCGTTCGAGGCGGCAGTTTTCTGGGTTCGTCGGTATGGGCACGGTGCGCTCCTGGCGCAATGGGATGTTGAGTCAGCGTTTCGGCTGTGGTGGGTACATCCGGACGGTCTTCGTGCCTGGGTTGTCATTGGGAGGGCTCGTTTTCCGTTGTGAAGTGCCTTCCCATGGGGTGTTTTATATCCTGCGCTTTGTTCGAACAGTTCAGTTCGTGCATGGAGTGGGTGGTGCGGGATGTCTCGGGGGTGAATGCGGTCAACCGTTATTTAGATGATTTTCTTTGTGTGGGTCCGCCAGCTTCCGGGGTATGTGCAGTTTTTGCTGGCCACTTTGCAACACATTGCACAACGTTTCGTTATTCCGCTGGCGTTGGACAAGACGGAGGGCCCGGCTTCGGTGATTACTTTCCTGGGCATTGTTTGGATTCAGGAGCTGTGGAGTGCCGGCTGCCTGAGGACAAGCTGTTGGCCTTACAAGTTGAGATTCGTGGGGTGCTGGGCGTAAGTTTCAGCTGCGGGCCTGGCAGTCGTTGTTGGGCATTGCTTACCTTCGCTTACCGTATACTGCCGATGGGTTGGGTGTTCTGCCGCCGATTGGCGACGGTGGGGGTACCTCCCCTTTTACATTTTATTCGCTTGACTTGGGAGCATCGGGCGGACTTGCAGATTTGGCTCACCTTTTTGGATTCCTTCAACAGGCGAGCTCTGTGGATGTCTGGCCCTGGGAGCCATTTTGACCTGGATTTGTTCCCGGATGCGGCGGCTTCCGTGGGATATGGGGCCTTTTGCCGGGGTCGGTGGAGTGCGGCTCCGTGGCCTGCTTCCTGGCGGGAGGCGGGGGGTTTTTTCTTCGTATCTTGGTGCTGTTGGTATTTTTTCCGGTGGTGCTGGCGGTTGCAGTGTGGGGGGAGGATTTTCGGAAGTAAGGGTTCATTTTCGGTGTAACATTTTGGGGGTGGTTCAGGTCGTCAATCGGGTCTCAGCTTCTTCGCGGCCTGTGGTTGGCCTGCTTCGCCATTTCGTGTGGCGCTGCCTGCACCTGACCATTTTTCTTCGTGCTGTGCAGCTCCCTGGGGTTGAGCACACTCTGGCTGTCGCTTTGTCTCATTTTCAGTGGGACACATTCCGAGGGTTGGCGCTGGGGGAGGAGCATCGTGGGGTTCCTTGTCCCGACTGGCTGTGGGATTTTGCCTTGGGGTCGTTGCAGGCTGGATCCGGTAGTCGGTGAGTGAGGCAACATGGTCTGCATACTCGACTTAAATGGTGTGGGACCCATCGTTGGTATGGTGTGCCCGGGAACATTCCAGTTAACCGAGGTTTAACTGGAAGGTGGTGGTGCTGCACTGCGGACAGTATGGTTGTCTCCGAGATGGTTGGTTGCGGCTGGAGGCCTAGTGGAATATGGTTGTCCGCAGGTGCATTTTGACTGGTGGGAGTGGTGGACCTGCTGCAGAGGGTCAATATTGATCCGTGGGGGCCTGAGTTGGGTTTCGCTGTGTTGTAATTTTGGTATGGAAATTAGAGCGGGGGGTGTCGGCTGCTGCGTTTGGATTGCCGGTTGGCTGGTTTGGCCTTCTTCTTAAGTTGCGGGGGTGTCAGGGTTTTCACGAAAGTCTTTTTGGGTTCGACAGGCCCTTCGGGGTTCCCGTAGGGCTCATCGCTGAAGGGATTCACGGCGTCAGGTGTCCGTTGAGTTGTTAGGGTCTTGGTTTGTGCACCTGCGGTCTGTGTGTCTTTTGGGCTTCGAGGTGTTTGTTTCGGGCGGCCTTTGCGGTGGCCTTTTTGGGGCATTGCGTTTTGGTGAGATCGGTAGTCCGTCTCAGTCAGTTATTGGGGGGTTTATTGGGGGATGAGGTCGTGTGTTGGGTTTACTGGGGTGGAGGTGCTCGTCCATCGGTCTGGGACGGACCGATTGGGGCGTGGTGCATGGGTGCGGTTTTTTTTTTTTTTTTCTCTTCCAGCATCTCATGTGTGCCCGGTGGGTGCGGTGCCAGATTTTCTATCCTATCGTCCGGTGGGGCAGGGGTCCTTTTTTCCAGCGAGCTGAGGGGTCCTCTTATTTCACTTTCACTTTGTGTCAGTTTTCGACGGTGTTTAAAGGCGGCTGGTTGGATGCGTCCTTGTGCGCTTCGCATTTGCTTTGGATGGGGGCTGCTACGGAAGCTGCCGGGTGGGGTTTGTTGGATATGGTTCACACGTATTGGTAGGTGGGATTCACGGAGATTTCGACTGTGCGTTCGTCCGCATCTGTTGGGGGACTGGTGGGGTCTTGTGTTCTGTTGTCATGGCCTGGGGGGAGTGTCGGTCCTGTCTGGGTGATGTATTGTCCTGGGGGCTGGATGGGTGTGCCGGGTATGTTGTGGGGTCGTGTGCTGCAGGAGGGGCAGCGTTTGAATCGATGGGATGGCCCACTGGATGTCCTGGTGCTTCCTGCGGGTGGCAACGATCTGAAGGTCGACAAGGAGGTGGGGCGCTTCTTTATCCGTAATGGGGGGCTGGTGGTCCGGCATCTGGAGCTGGAGGTGGATACTTGGAGGTATTTTTGGAGTGCTGGGGTACATCTGAATGCAAATGGATCGGATTTATGGTCTCTGGGTCTACAGGATGGAGTTCGGAGGGGTTTGTTTGTGGTGTGGCACGCATGGGTAAGGGCTCACCCAGCGTGCTGTGGCGGTGGTTGGTCTTTGGAGGCGGTTCTTATCTTGGAGGTACAAAATGGTGTGGAACCCATCGTTGGTATGGTGTGCCCGGGAACATTACTAGTTAACCGAGGTTTAACTGGAAGGTGGTGGTGCTGCACTGCGGACAGTATGGTTGTCTCCAAGTTAGTTGGTTGCGGCTGGAGCCCTAGTGGAATATGGTTGTCCGCAGGTGCATTTCGGATCGTTTTGGGGGTGCCTTCAAAGACCAACGACAACTCTTTATGTTTTCTGTTATAAGGAATGGTTGATGTGTTTAAACTTGATTTGTTAATAAAAGGCCGTGCTGGCCATTTTACTCCAAAATTGGTGTTGTGTTTTCTGTAAGTATAGTAAGTAAAGGGGATTGGTACGGAAAGGTAAAGGGTAACGGTGTAGTGGGGTCTGGATGAACCTATCTCGGGTGCACTAGTCATGGAGGGGATTGGAACACCTGAGTCACATGATTTGGAGCGGGGCCAATACTTTTGGCAATATACTATATATATATATACAGGCCTTAGTTAGTAGCATAATCTATTATCCAGGTAGGGACTAGGACAGGCCATAGTTAGTAACATAGTCCATTATCCAGGTAGGGACTAGGACAAGCCATAGTTAGTAGCATAATCTATTATTTAGGTAAGGGTCAAGACAGGCAGCAGTCAGTAGTGTAATCTGTATTCTAGATGGGAGGATCAGACAAATGGAGGTAACCCAGAACAAAGCACTCAGTTCAGGAGAAAGTTAGCCAAACACAATCCCAATCCCAGAGTCTCTGGGGTTGATTTAATAAAAATGAATAGGCTGCTCCAGGGGGAGGACTGACAACTCATGGGGCCCCCGGGCAATAGGGGATCATGGGGCCCCTGTGTCCTTGCCCAAACTCAAAAAAGCCTATGAAAAAGGTAGCAGGGGCATCTCATGGGGCTTCCTATTGACCCCGGGCCCTCGGGCAGTGCCTGAGTTTCCAAATGGTCAGTCCGCCCCTGGGCTGCTTACTTTTAAAAGGCAGTTGCACTTTACAAGGGAATGTGACACAGAGCTTAGCGAATGAGGTGAGGCTCTGCTGACTTCCATCATTTAATCATGTACAAGCAAAGAAAAAAAAAATATATATATTTTTTTTAATTTTCCTTGCAAGTCAAATGCACCACATTCACAAAGCTCTAGGAAACTTCCCTTGCAAAGTGAACAGCCTATTTGCCTTTAGTAAATCAACCCATCAGTCCGTAGGTGTTGCAGTTTTAATTGTCAAATACATACTATAAACATTGTCGTGTCATTTTTCTCACTTTTCTTCAAGACTATGTGGAGAATCAAAGTGAGGCACTGTTCAGATTTAAAGTGTTACTAAACCCCCAACAGTACAATCAGTCTGTATAGGCAGTAAAGCATGCTTGTTATACTCACTGTGGGACCTAAGGGGCTAATCCTCTGCATTGTGTAAAAATGCTGTTTGATCCTGTCTTCTCTCTGATCCTCCCCTTCTTCCAGTGTTCTCTTATCTCCTGATAAGACATATCATGTGGAGACACTCTGCACATGGTGTGTATTGCTAGAGAGGTTTGTTTTTTTCTTGGGGGTGCGCATGTGATCAGCACAGGGCCAATCAGCACTGTCCAGAGAGAGGTCAGGGGTTCTGCATCCTCCTGGAGAAAACTCCTCCTACAAGCTTTAACCAGTGCTCTGTTGGACACTGATAGAAGTCACAAAACTGTTCTAGCTGCTGATGAGAAAAGGAATTTAGCAGTTTATATTTACTAAAATTGCTGCATTTCCATGATAACTGTGGGAGACCAGATATAGTGAATGCAGGGTCCGGGGAGAGCAGATATAGTGAATGCAGGGTCCGGGGAGACCAGATATAGTGAATGCAGGGTCCGGGGAGACCAGATATAGTGAATGCAGGGTCCGGGGAGACCAGATATAGTGAATGCAGGGTCCAGGGAGAGCGGATATAGTGAATGCAGGGTCCAGGGAGAGCGGATATAGTGAATGCAGGGTCCGGGGAGAGCGGATATAGTGAATGCAGGGTCCGGGGAGAGCAGATATAGTGAATGCGGGGTCCGGAGAGACCAGATATAGTGAATGCCAGGTCCGGGGAGAGCGGATTTAGTGAATGCGGGGTCCGGGGAGAGCGGATATAGGGAATGCAGGATCCGGGGAGAGCGGATATAGAGAATGCAGGGTCCGGGGAGAGCGGATATAATGAATTCAGGGTCCTGGGAGACCAGATATAGTGAATGCAGGGTCCTGAGAGACCAGATATAGTGAATGCAGGGTCCTGGGAGACCAGATATAGAGAATGCAGGGTCCGGGGACAGCGGATATAGTGAATGCAGGGTCCTGGGAGACCAGATATAGTGAATGCAGGGTCCAGGGAGAGCGGATATAGTGAATGCAGGGTCCTGGGAGACCAGATATAGTGAATGCAGGGTCTGGGGAGACCAGATATAGTGAATGCAGGGTCCTGGGAGACCAGATATAGTGAATGCAGGGTCCGGGAGAGCGAATATAGTGCATTCAGGGTCCGGGGAGACCAGATATAGTGAATTCAGGGTCCGGGAGAGACCAGATATAGTGAATGCAGGGTCCAGGGAGACCAGATATAGTGAATGCAGGGTCCGGGGAGACCAGATATAGTGAATGCAGGGTCCTGGGAGACCAGATATAGTGAATGCCGGGTCCGGGGAGAGCGGATATAGTGAATGCAGGGTCCAGGGAGACCAGATATAGTGAATGCAGGGTCCAGGGAGACCAGATATAGTGAATGCAGGGTCTGGGGTTTAGTAACACTTTAAGGCTAGATGAGTAGAGGAAGTCTTTTGGAATAATTGACACTTGAGGAAGTAAAATCTACCCCACACCACCCAAATCAATTTGCAAGACTTACCTATCATAGGTATAGAAGTTCCTCCACTGTGATGATAATAGATGATATTGTGAAAAACCTCTTTCTTACATTTATACCCATGGGATTTTCTTAGATTCATGTTTATAACACGAAACTCAGGATCAGATCTCCAATCCCTTATGACAGCATTATCCTTGTAAAATATAGTTTCTCTTCCAGGATATCCAGGATAATGGTGACATCGCAGAATCACGTCGTCACCTTCATGAACATAGAGAGGAACCTGCAGGATCACATAGTCTGAAAAACAGAACAATAGGCAACCAATATTATAGCAAAGATAACAAAGATTGTTCTATCCTCTCATGCAGTTCACACCTTTTATTTATTGTAAATCTCTATCTCCCAAGAGATTCTTGTACCACAACCTCAGACCATCACATTGCACCAGCCTTGTCCTTGATATGGCAGAAATGCTGTGCATAGGCATTGCTAGACCCAGAATAAAATCTTCAGATGTAGTGCTCCTTGGTGGAACCAAAGCAGACTGCTCTTCCTTGCAGGCTCCACGTACTGTATATTCAACGGTATATATAACGTGGAGAAAAAGAAGAACAAAACAGAACACACTGGACAGTGCAGGTAAAACACCCTTAAACTTGATCAAATAAATATAAATTGCACTTACAAGGTGAGACTTGATCAGAGCATGTAACCAGGAAAATGAACCTCCATCAGATGTCAGGTCATCAGGAGATAGCAGTGGTGGGAGATTGTGAGCTGGCTAACTGGTGTTGTAACTTCCAAAAGTGTTTCCCGGTCCTGCCTCGCTTTTGTTCAGCCTCGTTCTCAGCCCCCTACTCCCTAAGCTCCATTTTTGGGGACCAGTTCCCAATCCCTAATTCTTATTTCAGCACCATATGTACCTCCTAAACTCCTCTTTTATGAAGGGATAGGATCCCAAATCATAAAAGTAGGGTAATACCTCAGTCCAGCCTGCAATCTCAGTAATTTAGCAGTGTCCACCATTCTCAAGAAGGTTTAGCAGTTTTTTTTTCCCCTGGTGTGCTCAGTGTCTTTTGCTGTGATTTTCCATCTGCATGCCACCTTTCTTTTTTCTGGCTTGACTGAAGTGTTACTTGCTGCGTCTGCACAGTGATCCGGCATCCAATGGAGGTTAAGTTTCCTGATTACTTACTCTGATCAGGTTTCAACTTTGTAAGTGCAATTTATCATTATTTGATCAATTAAAAGGTGTTTTATTTCTAAAAAAAACACTTGACAGGGTAGATTGGGGGTTCATGATATGCACACTAGAAGCATTGGGTATTGGATATAAGATGATGCAGTGGATAAAAAAATTGTATAGCTTTCCTTCAGCCGCAGTTATGGTTCATTATATCAATTCTTCAAAATGTATAACGGGACAAGGCAGGGCTGCCCTTTGTCACCACTACTTTTTGTTATCTCACTGGAACCACTTCTGGCGACCGTTCGAAAGTCTTTAGATGTAAAAGGAATTATGATTGGGAAGGAAGAACATAAGGTTGCAGCTTATGCAGATGACATGTTATTCTATGTCACGAACCCAAGAGTAACGTTACCTAATCTAATGAAAAATTTAAAATACTATGGCGAACTATCAAATTTGAAGATAAATCCTTCAAAATTAGAGATATTGAATATTTCAGTCTCAAAGTTAGAAAAACAGAACTTGCAGGAAACCTTCCCTTTTGTTTGGAGAGAAAGAGAATTAAGTTATTTAGGAGTAAAGCTCACTCCCTCTCTGAAAAATTTCTACCAAATAAACTATATCTCACTTGTAAATGAAGTTAAGGAAGAATTGAGGAAAATGTCTGTAGGGATACTCTCGTGGTTGGGCCTCATAAATATAAAAATGGTCATAGTTCCGAAAATCCTGTATAAGTTTCATATGCTTCCAATATATTTACTGGAGTCCTTTCTTAAGACCATAAGAAAAATGATAAGTAAATTCATTTGGTCAAATAAAAAAATCAAGGGTTAGTTTTGAATTATTATGTACAGATTAAGGCTAATGGTGGTTTAGGCGTGCCGGATTTTTAGAGGTATTATTGCGCTGTACCGATTTCATGAATGATTGATTGGATTTACAATACACTGGAGAAGATATGGGTAAAAATAGAAAATACACTAAATGGGTCACAGATCAGATAACATGGCTTCCACAACAATACCGAACCTTTTCGAAAAACATAAGTATTTTAACATGGAATGTTTTAAGAGAATGGCATAGATTACATGCGAATGGGATGGGAATATAATTCACTATTAATTGCACTGGAGGGAACAGATTTTTTTCCCAACAGGGAAGGAAGACGTTGCAGGTAACTGGATAACAAATAAAAATGCACGTTTGAAGGATATCACGGAAAAAGGGGGAGTTGCTTTCTTTTTTAGAATTAAAAGATAAGAGGGATTAATTTTTTAGGTTAGATGTGTGGCGGTACCACCAACTGAGGCATTTTGAATCAGTTCTTCCGCAACCATTAACTGCATGCCACCCAGCCACTGTACATATACGGCGGCAGGGCGGCACTCACAGGCAAAACCACGTTTTAGGACGTGTGTTTTGTAAACAAATAGGGGTCGCGCAAGGCGCGCCGCCGCCCTATCTGTCCCGCGGTTCTCTGCCGCAGATGTCAGTCGCTGGGTCACAGCCGCTCCTTAGCGGCTATCTCCCGGTGATCGGCGGCAAACAGTGACAGAGAGCACAGCTGCAGTAGCTGTGCTGTCTGTCACTTCCCTGACAGCTCGAGGATGAGCTGATCGAGAAAGAACAGTTTTTCTTTCTCGATCAGCCTTGTCCCGCCCAGCACACACCCCCGCCCCCTAGTAAAACACTCCCCTCACTCCTATAACCCTTCCCTGCTAAATAAAGTTAACCCCTTCCTCCCCATTGCCATTAGTACAGTGTCAGTTTTTTTTTTTTTGCACTGATCACTGTATTAGTGTTTTTGGGGATGTCAGTGACCCCAAGTCAGTACCCCCCAATGTTAAAATGTCCGCCGCATTCCCGCAGTCCCACCATAAGTCGCTAGTCGCTGCCATAAGTCGCTGATCGCCGCCATAATTCGCTGATCGCCGCCATTATCAGTATAAAAAAACCCCTAAAAATCCCAGTATCTTTCCCGCCATTTGTAAACGCTATAACTTTCACGTAAACCAATTAATTTACACGTATTGGTTTTTTTTTTTTTTAGCAAAGACATGTCGCAGAATGCATTTTGGCAGAAATTTATGACTAAATTTGATTTTTGCATTTATTTTTTACTGGACATGTTTTATAGCAAAAAGTCCAAAATATTGTTTTTTTTTCCTCAAAATTGTCAGCCTTTTTTTTTATAGCGCAAAAAATAAAAACCGCACAGGCGATCAAATACCACCGAAAGAAAGCTCAATTTGTGGGGAAAAAAAGGATGTAAATTTCATTTATGTACCATATTGCATGACCGCGCAATTGTACGTTAAACTAGCACAGCGCTGTATAGCAGAAAAAAGGCATAAATTGCAGTATTTATACCATAGTTTGTAGACGCTATAACTTCCACAAAAAGCAATCAATATACACTTATTGGAATTTTTTTTTACCAAAAACATGGAGCAGAATACATTTTGGCCAAAATTTATAACCAACTTTGAGTTTACTATATATTTTTTTTATAGCTGAAAATAAAAAATATTGTTTTTCTTCAAAATTTTTGGCCTTTTTTTGTTTATAGCGTGAAAAATAAAAAGCGCACAGGTGATCAAATACCACCGAAAGAAAGCTGTATTTGTGTGGAAAAAAAGGGCGTAAATTTCGTTTGGGTGCAGCATTGCATGACCGCGCAATTATCAGTTGAATTAGTGCAGCGCCGAGTAGCAAAAAGAGGCGTGGTCATTAAGGGGGGTAAATCCTCAGGAGCTCAAGTGGTTAAGGACGGTGGACAGTATGTATCCTCTGGAACGATTATTTGGTCAGGAGACGAAATGTAAACATACAACTTCTTGTATGTATAAGATTCTTACTAATATTGCAGGAGCTGTCTGTCCACCGTACCTTGACAAATGGGAAAAAGAGCTTGGAACAAAACTAGAGGAGCATGATACGAAGAAAATATTTAGATTGGCCCAGAGTACTGTAAATTTAACCCCTTCACGCCTAAGGGTAAAACAAATCTAAATGCCTAAGCACAATTCTGCAACGTTGACATGTTAGTAAAACCGTATATATCGTCACAACTACTTTGTACATCCAGGTGGATTATACCTTGTTTTTTTCAGGACAAATTGGGCTTTCATTTGGTGGTAAATGGTCATGGATAGCTCCTAATTTTTTTTTATTATTAAAGGAAAACTGGGCCAAAATAGTAAAAAAAATCATTTTTTTAAATTTAACTGTGTGTTTCTTGTTACGACCATAACCTACCACCAAAGAACAACCCAAAATACATTCTCCAGTTCTTGACGATCGCAGCGATACCATATATGTGTATGTTATTTGTTGTTTGTACCCGTAGTACAGCCCAGAAACAACAGTGCGCATTTTGTTTTTGTCTTTTTTTTTATTTTTTATTTTTTTACATAAAACACACTGTCACTGACATTGACATTAACACTAACTGACACTGATACCAATTTTTTTTTTAAATCCTGACCTTTGACCCTGACCTTTGCCCTTGACCCTGACCTTTGACCCTGACCTTGACCCAAACACTAACCCTGGTACTGAACTAGATCAAACCTTGATCTAGGTATTTTTCTTTATTTTTTAATATTTATTTATCTTTTTTTTTTTTTTTTACACACTTTTTTTTTCTCTCTCTATGTCAGGAGTTCGAGAGATACAATGTATCTCTCTTCTCCATTCATAGAGAGAGAGAAAACAAGG